CTATCTCACCTATCCTCTTCATGCTCTACATCCAGCCACTTTTTACCTCAGGGGTGGGCTCTTTCCCAGTGTTACAAAGGTTCGGCTATGCCGACGACATTGGATTACTTGTTTTTGGGCCTACTAAGGCAGGGAATATGAAGGTCCTCGCAAAACAGGTAGCTAGTGCATTAGAGTGGGGTACAGACGAGGGTATCACCTTTGACGCAGAGAAGTCTGAACTCATCCACTTTTCTCGTAAGAGAAAGCAAAAAGGGAGGGGCATCCGCCTTCCGCCTTCTATTATAGTAGGGAGCAGAACAATAGAGCCAACCCAAGAGCTTCGTTGGCTTGGCATCTTCTTTGACCCTCATCTTACTTTCTACAACCATGTTAAAAGGATGACAAGTAAGGCTACACTAGTAGCTAATGCTCTAAAAGGGACAACAAACACAATAAGAGGGTCTCCCTCCTACCTGCTAAAACAAGCGACTACCGCTTTTATTCTATCAATCGCCTACTTTGGAAGCGAAACATGGTTCCCTGGACGAGCAAGAGCCAAATAAGGAGGGACTACAAACAACCGAATTGGCCGTCACCTGACTCTCCTAGACCGAGTAGTAGCTAAGTGTGCTAGGATTATGTAGCTTAGGGCACCCCCCTAGCGTCATTTGCCCTATTTTGGGACTCTTCTAGGACCTAGCCCACGCGAGCTAGAATCCGCCTGACGTTAAATAGTAATAAATAAATAAATAGATAACACTATTCGCGCATTAGCCCACTCAAGTGATATCAAGCCGTCTATCAAGCCATTTATCAAAAATTTGCAATTTTGGGATAGATCGGATGTATTCACTTGATAATGGTTGAAAGATTTGGCAGGGTCCCGTCAGAAATTTTTCAGTATCTTATCCTGATCAAAGGTTTAGGGAAGCTCTGGACATTTGACCAGATAACGCACGATCCTTTGGCTAGTATCTCTATTTCCTTGATGCACAAAAACCCGGCTTAACTTCACGAGGCGTGGACAAGAAGCCGGATATAAGAACCATTACAAAACAGATATTCCCGAACCCAAGATTTCTTTACCTAGTACGTTCTCAGTCACTCTTTTTCGACTCTACTGGCTTCGAATTTCCTCAGCACTAGGCTTTTATGCTGGCTTATCAATGCGTCTCATTAACCAACATATGATGCAAAATTTGGGAATAAAAATTGAATAAGAATGATCTGGGTGGCATGTATGTCTGAAACTGTTGTGTGTGCATGAAGTCCAATAAGGATGCTGGGGTGACTCCAACAGATACCAACTCCCAGTAAGCCAACCAGAACAGAGGATCTGGTAATCTGTTGCGTATGCTGCACAATGAGTAAACCGATATGATGTAATGACTAGTCCCTACCGACGACTTCAAAAATGTTCCACTTGGAACTATCTAGTACTGCAGTGAATTGTCATCAAAAGTCAGGGGTGAGCGGGAGCGGTAGAGCAATGAAATCTAGTTGGCAAACCCACTTTTCTGGCCACTCATGACACTCAAGTAACCGCTTGCTGCGGCGTTCTAAAAAAATTCCAACAGCAATCTCTTTGTGATAAAGAAACCGGCGTTTCAATATCACCTGGGACGCTATTTGCGGCTTATAACAATATCCAGAAAGTTCCATCCAAGACTCAGGATGTCTTCCGCGGTTCATACTCTCCTCATCAATTCCCTCACTACCATAAAGCCCAATCCAGAGGTTGAAGGAAATTTTCCATTGGATGAGGCTGTGATTGAACGTCAGCTTCTCACATATTCCTTTCCACAGATACATATCAGTTTATTGTCTTAGGCTGACACTTCCCCTTAGAATTTCCACCGGGAACGAAGGTTGTTGCTGCTGACAGCTATGGCTCCTCGTCATGGACCGTCACTGCTAGAATCTCAACGATACTCGCAGACGGAACTCCAAAACTATGGTTCTTAAAGTGTGCAACCGAGAAGTCAGGAAAAACGATGCTCAAAGGAGAATTCCACTCCATGACGGAGATCTACAAGACCATGCCATCCTTTGCGCCCGAGCCATACGCATGGGGAAAAGTTCCATCGGCCCGTCCCAGAAACATATTTCTTCTTGAAAGAGTTCATTGATATGGCAAATGATATGCCTGACCCTGTGCAGTTCTGCTCTCACGTGGCAAAGCTACACAAACTCAGCACATCCCCGAATAACTGCTTCGGTTTTCACGTGGTAACAAATCAAGGGAAATTCCCACAAGCCGTGGAGTATGTGTATTATTGGAGCCCCTTCGCTTACTTCCAAATAACTCTGTAATTATCCCAGGTTTCCCAGAACGAACGCTGATTGAGATCTAGATGGGACCCTAGCTGGCAGTCATTCTTTACCAAAATGCTGAAGCATTCCATCAAAATTGATTCACAAGAAAACGGCACCATAGATGCCCTGTCGGAAGTCTCTTCACGATTGATCGACTCGGTAATTCCACTTCTTCTTGGACCCCTGGAATCTGACGGACGCACTGTGAAACCTTGTCTGATTCACGGCGACCTCTGGGACGGGAATATAGGTACCGACCGTAAGACTGGAACCATCTACATTTTTGACGCTGGCGCATACTATGCTCATAGCGAACTGGAGCTCGGGATGTGGAGGTGTCAACGCCATCGTTTTGTAGACCAAGAGGTTTACTTGCGAGAGTATTTGAAAAACGCCGGAATAAGCGAGCCTATCGAAATGTTCGATGATCGAAATAGGTTGTATTGCATTTATATGAATATATGGGCTTCTGCTCATCATACGGGAGGCATCGATCGTGATATGTAGGCTATTTCGAGCTCATCTTATGCACAAAAGGTGGAATACTAACATGGTGATTGTCAACAGGGCATATAAGGATATATTGTTTCTCGTTAACAAATACGCTCCATCTTCTGACAACGTATTGCCCTGATTTCCAGCCCTAAGAGCAACTCCTTCATCATTCTGCAGAGTACATGAGTACTCCTTGGTTTCTGGTCAGAGAGAAAGTGGCTGGAGCTAAACTGGGATTATCGTGTAAAATTCAGACCCAATAAATATTCAATGCAAAAGATGTATTGATTCCATCAAAATTCCTCTCTCTCCATACGTGAGTGACAATGTCGCCGTCCCGGTTTGGGACAATCAACAACTTCTTCGCATCGAAAATTGGGTAAGGTTTTGCTAAAGAGATAGATTTGCAGGACTCTTTGAACTTATCGTCACCACTATAGGCACACATATGACCAGTACACATATCTTACAACACCGCCAACCAATCCTTCAACAAGCAAGCGACCGATTCATTCTATCCGCTGATACCATTGCAAACCGCGGTCCCGCTGACGGCGACACATCGTCCTTCTCCGTTGTCCAACAGAATCTGCGTACGTCTAATTAGTATTTTATACCCAAAATAAGTTGAATGAATAGCTCATATAAGCCGTAAATCTTTTGACTGTTATTTGAGAGGAGAGTGGTACTCACAGTTCCATTCTTTAGGTTGGGGTCAACCTTTGTACCGTTCAAGCGACTGATGGCTTCTCTATCTTTTTTGATGGACTCTTTATCGAATCTTTTTGCTAAGCGATCATCGGCCCCTGTTGGAGCAGCGATGGCAGTGGCGGCCAAGAAGGCAACGACGAGAGTGAGGAGAGTTTTTGGGTTATACATGGTGATTGATGTTTGGATTTGTGGATGATTTTGAAATTGAAGTTGTTCAGGCCTGCTGATGAGAATGTATGTAAATATTGTGATTTGAAGTGGTGATAGTGGGAGAATAACTGCTAAGGAAAACCCACTCTCTTTATAAAGGCTTAGTTGGACGTCTACAGCGGCATTTCGGAGTCTAGTCGCCTATTTTCCCCACGTTGCTTCCCGCCAAGTTGCAAGCGAGTGTTTTGCCAACCCCTGATTCAAACGCGTTTTATGTATTTTGCTATTTTAGAAAAATCTGGGGAGAAACTCTTGGAAATCAAACCTTTCTCATGTTCTTGGAAGATTCTATCAAGTATCATACAACAATGAATAATCAGTTTTGAAAAGGAGTGCTAGAAATCTCCTTATGCACTTGAGAAATGACTTGGCAGGAACTTACAACAAACAGATTTCAACGCGCAACTCTGAAAGCGTCTTGACAGCTCAGCACAATTCAAATCCTATTAGGATCGAAAGGTAGTAATATGTTACTAATATAGTTCGTGAACCGTGACTTACATCGTATTCCTGTTTGGGGATTGATTGTAGCAATACGACGTCCACAGTACATTCAAACTTGTTTCCAGACAAAGTGTATTTTTTCAATTAAGGTAGCAGGGTGTTTTACACAAGCCCATGGTCCTCTATTTTCAGAGGAAATCCTCATCAGAAGACCAGATTATATGTGGAATCAAACTTTTATATCAGAGCTCGATTTCTGAAGATGTGGCCATTTTAACTTTTTCCGGCGCCCACCTTGAGGTACAGTCGGAGGCTCAGACTTAGAACAAGCATATGGTTATAGTTATAGTTAGTCAAATTCTAGATTCCTTCGGAACTGTGGGGTGGCTTAGCAGAACAAATGACAGATATTACTCGAGTATTTGTAGCGATACGACGTCTAGGAATGGAGATTAGACGTCTGGTATCGGTAGTACACACAAGCGAAAGCTTATTAGTTTCCGAACAGCTGTAAGGTAGATCCCGATCGTGATACATGGAAGTAGAAGTAAATCCACCGGGGAGAAACGCTACGAGAAGTCACGAGATATGTACGAGTAGTGTTCCCAGTTTTTTACGAGTACCATCAGCTCAAATACGTCATTGATCAGCCACAACAACCCCGCCTCCAATTCCTTGTCATGTCTTACTATTTGAAATAGGTATCAATTCGATTTGTATCTTAAGAAAGTCTCAAGTAAATGCCATTACAGAAACAGCGAAAAGACAAGAAAATGGGCCTTTTCAAACACAAAGACAAGGCGAAGTTGGATGTGCCATCCACGTCTGAGCCTCCAACTTCTTCGAACAACCCAACCAGAAACTCGAACCAATCGAGTACGGATCAGAGTTACAATGATTCGGCATATTATTCAAACAGCAATGCCTCTAGTGCCGATTCAAGACCTAAGCAACAATCCCCTATTCAGAATCACCAGAATCAAGGACAAGCTCCAGGAACGACGATAACAACCACAACTACCACCACTACTAGTAAGTCAAATAGTAATCTTCAAACTGGCCTAGACTAACAGTCTTTTGACAGCAACGACAACGGTTGCACCAGATGGCACAACCCACACATCTTCGCATCCACACAACCCGCAGACAGACCCCCCAACACAATCAACCGAGATGACAATGAACAATGCAAGTCAAAATGCACTACCTAAGCCACCCCAAAATGAAGAAAATACTCCAAATCCAGTGCATTACCAGCAAAGCCATAGTAATGTACAACCACCACAGCTTTATTCGCAGAACCTGTCTCCACAGCAAGCCCAAAATCCGGCACATGAGGGAGTGGCTTCACCTCTCCATCAACGGAACCAACAACGCCAGTCTCAAGATCTGAGCCGTAATTCTTCTCTCAGACGGAACTCAAATCCAGTACTTCACCAGCAAGGGTATAGTAACGTACAACCACAGCCCCAGGTATACCCGCAGAACCCATCTCCACAGCATGCCCAGAATCAACCTCATGGTGGAGTGGCTTCACCTCTGCATCAACAGAACCAATACCAACCTCAAGATATGAGCCATATATCGTCTCCCAGACGAAACTCAAATCCCTCACATACTCAATTCCAAGACTTCGGACTCCCAAGAACAAATTCAAATTCCAACCAAACACCCTACTCTCAGGGCCATCACCCACCGGGAACAATCCCCCCACCAGTTCCCCAAAAGGAGCCCAGAACAGAAGCTGGACGCTCAATCCCTCAACGCACACAAATACAAAATGGTTCCCACTACGAAATGGAAGATACATCACCCGTCCACGCCCCACAATACCCAGAAGGAACAGAATATCGCAATTCTCCGCCTAGGCAAGGTTACATAACCACGGACGGTACGTATACAAACCAAAACGAGAACCAGGCCCCAGGATATGATCGAAGATTGAGTGCAGGTCATATCGCGCGTGATGGGTATCCGACGCATGTGGGAAAGGGCCACACTGGATATCAAGATAACGACCCGGAAGTGGATCCTGTTACTCCAATTTCACCACCGTCGGCTGGAAGTCACAGTGGGGTATACGGCGAGTCATATCCTACGAACACACATGACACACCAGGTTATCCAGACCCCTCGGTTTCTCCTCATTACACACATCATGTACCTCAACAATCCACAGATACCAAGCCCACTCGCAGCAGCATTAGCAGTGCCATACGAGGTATTCGCGGTGCATCTGAAGCTCTACGGGGAACTGTGAATCAGGGAATAGCAAGGGGTGTTCGTGACAAAGAAGAAGAAGCGAGGATGCGTGCTGTGAGGGAGCAGGGGTTGGAAGAATTGAAGGAAAGTGGTTTGAGAGAAGGGTTCCGGCAGAAAGCAGAGGAGAGACAGAGGAGGAGAAGTCGTGATCGGGGGTACAATGGGATCTATGGAAGTGAAGGACCTGGTGGTCTTGATCCAGTGGAGGAGAGGAGTGTTAGGAGTTTGGAGGGTAGATAGTGAATTGGTGTTTTCTTTTACTGGGATAAGGAATGTACCTAGGACTTATGTTGCTATGATGTTATGATTATGTGTAGCGTTTTCTTATTGTTGTTGTGTGTATGATATGGAAAGATGTTAGATTTTGAGAACAAGACTTGGATAACGAGAAGTTGAATAGTTATGTATCGCATTTGAACGTGTCCTATCCTACTTCGTGACTTGCCTAGCGAACCGGAAAAGGGGGAGGTGGGATTAGCTCAAAAGGGGTAAGATCAACTAAAGCATGGCGATACGTGGAGGACTTCTGGCGAGGCTCTAACTTGGAATACAAGGGCAAACAAACGATGGGATTACTATGGCTAGTATTGACTATGTCTTAGACTCTTATACACTACGCCAAAAAACGTCCATGAATTGGAAATGAGGGAGAAATACTGTATAGTTAACAACTCACGAAACTATTTCTCACTGAGTACTGAATAAGGGTAGACTAGAAATTCGGATACGATGCCAATAAACGTGCAAGGAAGATGCAAGATTCGGCTGCTATCCTGGACCTTAAAGAGAGTCAAACTGGGAGCATATGATAAGGCGAGCTTAGTATTAGAAAGAGCTGCTATGGGACTTGCAGTACTTACCAGCTGTCTGCTATTGCAACAGGGTGTCAGGTTGGAGCTTTGGACTTTCCTACTTCTCAATTCGTCGACTGAGGGGTGATAACGCTATTACTTTCTCGCAAGCCACATCTCGCCAAAACTCTGATTTCAAGTTCACGAAAAGCAAGCTTGAAAAGTGACAGGGAAAGAGAACGTGACGGCATGCGAAAAGAAATCAAATCCAGCTCTTCATGCACTCAATCCCAGGCCGAACATAGCATTAATAACAGCTATCAATCCAAAGAAAACCATCAATTCATTGCCTAAAAAAAACCTTACCAATTCTTATCAACACAATTCCCATATAACCATTTCGTGAACGTCACAATTGGTCTATCTACACCCTTCGTCACAACCTCACTAGCCCACAACGTAACAGGCAGCACCACCAAGAGTTGCGGTATCAAGAACGCCAACTCCAACCCAAAAACCCCGCCCTTCCATAGTGGGAACTTATTGTACCAATTCATCAACTGTCCCCTCCGTTCCCATCCTACCAATGCATAGATACGATCCGCAAAAACCCACATCAAAGGTCCATGCACAAGATACAGCGAGTAAGAGTTGCGCCCGAGGTATTGACAGAATCTAGTTTCGAAGAATCGCTTAAGCCAGGATATATGAGGAGTGGCGTGTAGGAGGATGGTAGCAGCCCAGAAGAGGTAGAACCATTGGTAACTAATAAGAGATTTTGAGCGGAAAAGAGAGAGGAAGTGCCAACCCGGGGACTTCTGCAGGTTTTCAACATCAGCATTGTAGGTTGGGACACCACCCAAGTACATGCTTATAAGGAGAGCGGCGTGCGCGAGTTTGTTTTTGTGGGGTTGTAGTTTAGCCATGAGGGTAGGGAAGGGAAGAGTGTTGTGGATGGAGAGTTGGTGGAAGTCTGCGAGGAGCATGCCCGAAATGAAGCAGGAATATGGCCAGCCGTCGATTATGTAGAGGAAGTAGAGGAGGACGGGGAGGGTGCCTGGGTGGGTTTATTAGTTTTTGTGATGATTGATGTTTTGCATTGTCTCTTCGCGTAAATATGATATTACCCCTCTTCCTGAGAAGTTTGGCGGGGGTCGAGCAGATGCTAGGGAAAGAAGCACTCACATAAAATCCTCGCATTCCTCGTACACCTCGCAAACGCAAAAACCAGTGTCAAAACAATAATACTCCCTCTAAACGCCGTCGGCACAATCCAAACATGATAATTATAACTGAACAAATCCGTGTTGATCGCCAAACCCCCCTTCCCAAATACAAACCCATAATTCAGAAGCTCGCGATACCAACTCCTAAATTCCTTCCAATAAGTCTCCTTATGTCTTGGATAATACGTCCAAATGCCGAAAATATGCCAGCTCGAAATATACAGAAACGTCGTCACAAAGGCCGGAAGAAAAAGCCTCAACCAGCGTCGAAACAGCGCCGATCCGACATTATCAAAAAGCTTCTTGTATTCGCCCGCGTGGATGTAGGATAGTGGTTTCCTGGTCAATACAAAGCCCGAGATGACATAGAACACCGCGAGAGCAAAATGTCCTCCGGTGAAGAACGTCCGGATCCCAGGCAGACAGGCAAAGTAATATCGACCGTTATATCCCCACGCATTTTCAAGAATGAGAGCCGAGTCTTCCGGAACTCCTATTCGCGCCCAAGACTGGTTGTGATCCAAGTACATCAGAAATGCGGCAAATCCGCGCATCCCGTCGAGATATGACGTGGCATGGATTTGCTTTCGTGGCCCTCGAGTGAGAATTGAGGGCTTGAGGATCTCTATAGCGGATTTTACGAGCTGGAGGGGCTTTGAGGGCGCGCAGGCGGAGGAAGTGCTTTCGAGAAGGCCATTTTCTAAGTTGCGCTCCTCCTTTTCTTTTGCTTTAGGAGGTGATTGGGGCATGAGGGTTGAAGCGCAACCGAGGGAGCTTTATCATTGAAAACCGTCGACACAAATCAAAGATCCAGATATGCGAATGGCAACAATGATGAACAGGAAGGGGGTGGGATGGATTTCTCAACAACAGAACAGAAACGAACGATCGCAAAAAAGAGTAATCTTACGTCGTCTTGTTTCGCCCACGTAGGACACGGACGGATCCACCGAGGTTGTAACCCCTACCGCCCAAGGATACAGTTACGAAATACGACCCCTGATTAACGCGGGGTGAGTACTGTACACCTGCAGCAGGTGAACCACTAGCGTTGCGACTGAGGTTCAAAACAGGCCTGTTCCCAGCAAATGAGAAGAGCAGATGGCATTTTGCGACTTTTTGCCTTTTCACTCTCCACCAATCGTGGTAAGACTTACAGTACTACCTTCCTCACTTACTCGTACAGTAGAGTGGTATTCATCCCTTATCACATGTACTGTAGAAAGATGGTTGTAGGTAGAGTGTCATATTATGATCCACTGAGCTACCGAGTCCCGGGAGACGTCCAGAATTTAACTAGTTACAGCTATACCCATAGCTTGTTCCAAGTCTGAGCCCCCGACTCATGTTAGTTTGACGCCAAACTGTACAGCACTTCAAAGTATAAAATTAAAAGGACAAGCTTTTCTAGAGTCTTATGCTTAACCAAGGATGGATGTCAGTTATGTCCTTGAATGCTGCGTATGGAAGTAAACATTGGATCTCTCCTCTTGAAAACAAACACCCGAAATACAAGCGCTTTCATAAAAACTCCCGAGTCCCCAAAACTCCTTGCTGTATCCGAAGAAAATGACGGAGACCGTACTAAATCTAAAGAAGACGAGTTTTCAACAATCGTACCCCCATCCGACCGACCGATTGATTTCAGACGCAACCCGAATTCCATGACCAAGAAAATTGAGAGCTCCATCAGCAATCGCATTCCCGGTATTAGCAACAGGGGCTGGATCAACTCCTCCATTCATACGATTCGGTTGTTCCGCTGCAATACTCGCTAAGAGGAAATCCTCAGAGAGAACAGCATCCCGATCCCCAACTCTCGACCGCGCAGCTCTTTTGATCGCCAGGTACCATTTTTGATACCAATCTAATTCCATCATCCTTGAACGTCCTCGCAGAGGCGTCAACTCGTCAGACCAATAATACCAGACTGACTTGACGACTTCATAACGTGCAGTGATGAGGAAAAGAATGGGCCATGCGATGATCCAGAGGCAGGATAAATAAAAGAACCAACGGATCCAGGTTGTCATTCGCCATTGGTTAATTTTACCTGGAGAGTAGACAATTAAGCTCGTGTGAGTCGTAGGGAATGTGACAGAGACATGGCCACGGTAATTCGTCTCTGAAACCGCAGAACGGATCAATCTCTCAAGTCTTTCCGTCATATGCCATCGTACCTCGCGCTTAAGGGTAAAGGATTTGATCGAGCTTGTATTCGCGACGTAATGCTCACACCATGCAGTCAAAGAATCCACGCCATCAATTGGGGCCACCGCTGGACTCAAAGATGGAAATCTGGTTCCCCTATATCCCCTTCTGTTGTCGGGTAAAAACTCTAGTTCCCCAGGAGTCACTCCCGCAACGTAACTTTGCGGTAAGATCATATCTGCCAAACTGAGCTTGAAATCAAAATCCGTAACTGTGGTTCTCTCGTCCTTGTTATTACGCCGTGCCGTCTGAGTGTGTGTCCCGCAGACCCGAACATAATATCCTGGAGCATACTTTGCTTGATCTTTAATCATGAAAGCCAGAGCGCCGGGTTCGGTAGAGTAGTTGGGGAGATTGGTACGGTATTCTGATCGGCTTTTGTCATGGCTAGAAAAGACAGGATCTGGGGGGAGGCTGCGCAAGAGTGGTTAGCATAGAATCCAATATGCAGCGTAGGTTGAGGCAGCCATACTAATCCGGGCGGTATATTATATTATTGATGCTGGCGATGCTTGGTCCCGTTACAGGCGCAGCCCAAAGAAGGTGGGACGATTGTGAGGGTGTATCTTCGTATGCTGGAAGATCTTCATCTGGGAATGATTCAACCACATTCATGAGAACAGCCGACGACATGGAGGCTGTTTCCGCGTACTCTGGGGCATCTCGATAGGTGCCGGCGGGAGGGTCGGCCATTCCCTTCTTGGGGTTTCCTTTCTTAGTAGCCATTTTGATGTTTTGTTTGGACTCGAGGCTTGAGGTTGAATTACATGCGGTAGTCTTTCATGCCAGGTGCCTCAAGGGGCAGACGTTGAGGTGTCAATACAGCGGCGCAGCCTGTGGATTGGTGAATATGGAGGCGGGCTGAAGTTCCTCCTTGGCTTACGGCTTCTATGTGGGGGCGGGCAGCATGGCTATTTTTAGCACTTTCAATATCTGATGGACAAAACACTACTGTTGCACTTTTTCGAGAATTCGCATTGGGTTCCACATTTTTGTTTCTTTTGTAGTGCGGTTTGAGATTGTGGGATTTTCTTCCAGGTGTACAGTATACTGGACTTACAGTATCCTAGTAAACACAGAAAAAGTGGCAGTCACTAGCCTACTTATCTAACTTATCGTAACGTAGTTTGAGTTTTTTAGTTATTCTCACAATTTCGAGTAATTGAAACAATTCGCCAAAAATCGGTCATAGAAAGATGAGGATATTCCGGGATTATTGCGAATTATTGTTTTTACGTGCTACCGTACTGTCTCTTGGTTTGGTTGTCTCGCACCAATTTTCCTGTCCCAAGCGAAGTGTGCCGGCACCAAACTTCGACTAGAATAGGAATAAGAACAATATTAAGACCAATCTGTTCTAAGCTAGCACTAACAACCTACGCTGGATTTTTAGTCCCTGTTCATCTAGCGTGAGACAACCAAACCAGAGAAGAGATGATTTCAATCCATTTTATGACTGGCAAATTGGCTAGATATTCGTTAATTTTGGAATCGCTCAAGACTAGCGTTCCGCCATAAAAAAGTGAAAACTTACTTAACTTCCAATCTTCATCCTTGTACTCTGCTCAACTCATACAAGCAACTAAACAAGAGAACCCCTTTTTGCAATTCATAATGTCTTCAAAGCCAAACCTTTCCCTTCCGCTGGAGATCTGGAACAAGATCTTGCAGCAATGTATCTCGAATTTCGACCTAGACGAACAATGGATGTCGCTCCGTCTCATCTGTAGCCGCTTCAAGTCAGCTGTGGAACAATCCTTTGTCAATAAACATCTACAGCACATGGAAATCAGTTACACTCTTGGTAGTAGACCCACTTGGGAGATACGAACAACACTAACGAAATGATAGGACCATATTTTCTGACCAGACCTTCGCGTCCCAAAATCTATGAGGCAACGGTCCCTTTCGTATTCCAAAAAACAGTTTCACCATATGGAGCAGAAAGAAAATTCGCTTACTTTCATTCTTACGTGGCAGAAGATCCAACAGTTCTCCCACTAGCCTCAGGCGCCATCGACGCTCTCCGTCGAGAATTAAAGGAGGCTATAGGTCTCTGTGAGCTCTCAAAAAGCATTCCGAACTTTTTCAAAGCGATATCGATTCGTCCCTTCCATACCATCAGCCTTTATAATGATCGCAACGACATGCCTATTCCCGGGCTTTACATTGGACCAGAATCCTTTGATCTGATTCTCGACTGGAAAGCTCTACTCACTCGCTTCTACGGAGAGAAAATACATGCAATGCGTTTGATGGAAAAATACAAGCCTGTCAGGCGTAGTTGTCGAAGGGCTTGCAGAAAGGCTACAACTGAGCCGGCTGATATATGGACTCTGACTTACAAAGCTGCGCGTCGAGCAAGAATCACTAAGATGTTCAGAAAGAAAAAGATCCGTTGGAGTTGGAAAAGAGTTGCAAAACATTGGTCTTTTTTGGAGAGAAGAAAGGTCACTGACATGTTGTGGCGGCGGCCAACGTTGAGTGCAATGAATTAGGTTGCAATCACTTCTCTATTTGACTCGGGGTATCTTAAGTTCTACTTGACCTCTAACCTAACAAACTATCTACAGCTTTTCAAGTAGTTGGGTAGTTTCGTGATGCATATGACGCTGGTTCTAGCGAGGAATTTGGTGTTTAAAAGTGGCACGATATAATATACACTTGTTTTCCCAAGCTACATTCAATCAGAATTTACAGTGTCTCTAGTGCTTTAAGTGAATGCAGTTAGGTTGATTTGTTTTGTGGGAGGGTGCAAAAGAAAACCATCCTGCAAAAAAGATAAAATTTAAGCTAGGAAAATGGAAACAGCCTCATAAAACACTTCGAATGCGGTCGCAAGCGCATGTTATACTTCCACTACTTGTCTCTACGTGTATTGCTTGAATATACAAATGTAGAAGACGCAGTTCTTGGCAATGTAAATTCCTACTCTAGCATAATAGCAAAGGTCAATTTAAACTGTACTATATATTTTATCAGGGTGATGCCCGTTTTTAACTTTCAAGTTACCCTCCTCTTCCTTAGAATTAGGATTGATTAAATTAAGACACCTGCCGAACTTGGGCATAATGTAATTGCGAAAGCCCCTGTCTTGATTATACCTAACTTGAAATACAATCCTGTATTTTTCTAACCATTTTCAATTGTCTTCTTAGGTATCACAAGTCCACTTCCTCGCTACTTAGGGTTTCCTTATGCATCTAGTCCAAACCCTTAGAATGAGTGTTCTTCAAAGTACCATGCTCATCTCATTCTGATTACACCTTTCTGCATTATGGGGGTGTTAGATGGAGACATAATCGTGACAGTCTATTTTGCGAGGGCATTTGAACAGGTCTTCACCTAGCGCAACATGCGAGGAACACCTTTTCTACGTAAGTTCCTCAACTGGCCCATCTAACACTAGGGGCGGAAATCGATTTTAACAGGCTTCTTGTATTGCGTTGCGTTAGATTGTGTTAAGAGAGACGAGAGTGTATCTACAGGAGAGGTGCTACGAAGTGATGTTGAGGAGAATCCTTAATAGTGTTGACCTTGTGGATTTGGTGCAAGTCTCGTGTTCGTCCCCTTATTCTCATGGGCTAATTTTGCTACTAGCCATACAAGCGTGTCGCTTGTTGTCGGCATACAAGAAAATATTATTGATGTATGTAATTTTTGGATCTAGTGCCTCTTGAACGGAATGTGTAGCAGGCTAGCAGCATCGTCAATTCTGGCGTATTATTAGGACGTTGGGCGTAGGTTGGAATAGATAAGTGCTGGTCTTCTACACAACAAAGGGAGCTTTGTTGTTTTAGGGATCCAGAAATCAGTGGTAATACTGAAATGGTCATCTTATAAAGCGCTCTTGGTCTCAAGAACTGGAGATGCAAAAAATCAAATAAGCAAGCGCCCTTGCTTGAGAGTAATCTAGCTGGTCACGCGGCCTCATAATTCCTTCTTTTCCCCAGGGCTACTCATCTCATTTCTCTTTCTTCAGAAATCCAGAAAATCCCAAGTCGCGTTGTTTACTCCGTCGAATACACAACTCGGATTCGATTCATCTCGGTTACGAAGGGAAATGGTATAACGTAAACCGTCGTGGTTTCGTCCACGACGAACCCTAACATATTTTGATTGAGAATGCCTCCAGACGTTTGTGAGCTTTGAATTGCAAGAATTAAAATTGGAAGCCGTATCTCTCGCTTGTTTGGAAGAATCATTGTGAGCTTGAAACAATTCGATTCCTAGTTTGTGGAATTGCTAGATATGATTGTGTTCAAATTCACTTGGCGCATACACCAGCATATGTTATCCCGCCTGAAATACTTCGCCAAGGGAAGCTCCAAGGAATCTCTTGCAGTGGAAGATTTACTGTACAGTCATTCTCACCTGCGCACTCACTCCAACGCTAGACAACTACAGCATGAAAGAACCAATCTTGCGCCAGGCTCTTGAAGGATTACGGTCAAGTTCAAGGGATTAATTTCATCAATCATTAACTATTGAAATGCCAAGGTGCTACAATCGCTACTCTTGCATCATCTTCAAACAAAACAGAGAACCCCCTGTCATGATAGCATCAAGCCATAAAAAGCAGCCAACCCCTAAAAACCAACACTCCTGGATACCAAAAACTCCATGATCAGGAACTCAACAAGATTCTATATTTCAAGACTCTATCTTTGAAGAACCCATTTTCAAACCCGCGCAGTCTGATCAGCAGTCTTCTCCTGCAAGAAAGTATCCTGATGATGCTCAACCTTATCAAGTCTATACAAATCCTCGGGCTCCTCATCCCTCCTCAAGATATATCTTCTAAAGAAGTAGAAAAACTGTCTCCCACCATACGCCGCATGGTCTCTAGTCCGCACACTAAAGACCTGATCAAGTTCCTCGAGCGTCCTCCCCTTCGTCTCAGGCACAAAGAACAGCACCCCAAAGAAGCCAATAAGATTCCAAGTCGCGTACCACGAAAAGGCGCCTTGGGGTTTGAATGCTTGGAGCAGCGAGGGCCACGTGACGGACAGCACGAAGTTGAAGAACCACGTAGTGGCGGTCGCGAAGGACATTCCGAGCGGGCGGATGTAGAGGGGATATGCTTCTGCGGAGTACGTGAAGGGGACGGGTCCTTCGCCAGGTGAGTAGACGATTCCGAAGAGGTAGATTCCGAGGGCGATGCAGGCGATGTGGGCTTTGGAATTCTCAGGGATCCAGAAGGCAAAGCCGGTGAAAAAGAGGCAGAGGGCCATCAGAGGGAAGGTGGTGAGGAGGAGGTTTCGTCGACCGAAGTTATCAATTGTGTAAACCGCTGGGATGGCGAAGAGGAAACTGGGGGAAGTTAGCGGTAAGTTCTTGGAAAGAGACATGATATCAAAATGTGAGATATGGGGAAGAGGACGTACTTGATGATTCCGAAGCCGAGGGATGCAGCGAGAGCAGATATCTCGTTGAAACCTCCTTGAATGAAGATTTCGGACGAGTAGTAGGCGATCACGTTTACACCACAGAACTGAGTAACATTATCAGCCAACATTCCTTCTTAAAATTGGAGGCACTTCGAGAAGACTTACTTGTTGCATAAACATAACAATCTCCGAAGCCTGCATAGCACGACGATTTCTCGGAACAGTAAAAATTTCCTTAACCTTACTTTGTCCGAGAATCATCGTCTCCTTCTCAGCCTCAAGGAGAGTGTGCATGTAGAAGATGTCTCGAGCTGCTTGGACTTTGTTATACCGAAGTCGACACATGGATTCAAATGCCTTTGCATGACGATTCTTGCTCATGTACCAACGGGGAGACTCGGGACACATGAAGACGAAAAAGCAAACAATGACAGCCGGTAACATTGCAGAGCCCATCATTAGACGCCAGTTGAGACCAGTGATATTGTGTTTGTCTGGGACGTTGTAGAATGCTAGATCGGCGGCGTAACCTACCATGATTCCGAAGGCTATTCAATTATGAGCGGTTTGTGCAGTACAAGTTTCAAACCAGAATCGACTTACCAGTCCACATTTGCCATTGCATAACCAAAGCACCACGAATAATAGGAGGAGCACATTCCGCAGCGTAAATTCTATCCCGAACAAGTCAGTCAACTGCCTCCCAACAAACAGATAAAAACAATTTAAACTCACGGAACGGTAGCAGACTTTGGACCAATTCCAAACCCCAACGCAAAACGAGCAATAAACATATGCCACCAAGTATTCGTAAAAGCCTGCCAAAAGCACGCCAGCGCCGAAATGACACAAGTCAAGAAAATCGTTCCTCGTCTACCGAACCAATTATTGAACGGGACAGTGAGCCAACAACCAATAAACGCACAGCAAAGATAAGGAGCCGAGTTCGTGAGACCTAGCAGCCAGGAATTCCTCGCGCTGAGGCTGGATTCGATGCCGAACTGCCTGGCGTAGAAGATTTGTGCACCGTTGACGACGGTTTCGTCTATTCAACGTGAAAAAATCTCGTTAGCGAGAAGTCATGTAAATACTTGCTGAAATCAAATTTCAGTAGAAATATGGAAAGGACATACCCATTCCCTGCACCGCAGCACAAGTCGAGCAAAGTACCACAACCAAATATAGCAACTTCGGCTGACTCCACTTCTTCTCAATCTCCAAACTCAACGTCTCACTCTCCTCTGCTGTGAGACCGTGCACATCCGCATATTTATTCGGATCCTGCGCGAGGACCGCACCGAGTTGAAAGGCGCGGATATCTTCCTCGTCACCGATGGCGTTCTCACGACAGTAGGCTTCGCCTTTGGCGGTTAGCTCCGCGTGGGAGTAGCCCGCGAGGGGATTGTTGAGCTTCTGGTTGAGCTGTTTCCGGAAGTCATCTTGGGAAGGGCCTCGGATGACTTGCGGGTCGGACGAGTCGTGGGAGAATTCGTCGATGTCTTCTTTGTTCGCGGCGATGGGTTTCTCGTTGGGTGTCGCCATGGTTGTGTTTGTTGTGGATTGGGGGTTTTGGTGTACCATGCAAGTATTTGAGTTTAACAAAGAGTAGTAAAATCTTACAAGTAATAGAGAGATTGAGATCTTATATATATTAGAGAAAGAACTCTAGTAATAAATTACGTATGGGGGCAAGTCTGGGGAAAGGGGGGGCCCAATTGTGACGTATGCGGGGAACTGAACAAAGGAAGAAAACCTGGATGAGAACGTTCCTACGCCGTACGGAAGGATTCATTGGGGAAGACGAAGTCCTTATAGACGGAATCACGGGACTCTTTACGAAATACGTCCCGCGATCGTCGCAACCATAACTGACTTGGATTTCGAGAGCTGAACTACTATTCGCTTACAGCTACAAGTTGCCTTCAAAACGCTGATGCAAAATCCAGGGTATGCAGCGATTGACTTCTCGCTCCGAAGAACATGAGAGGTTCCTACCCCGCGTTTTGTGGGTGCCTAAAAGAAGCGGCTGTGGGGTAGCTGTAGCCCTATCCAAAGACCTTGAGTTTCTCGCTTCCGAGGCTGAAAAGTTCGAGAGAACTCCCCCCTTTTCAGCCTCACCAGTTTCATTTACATCTACATCATCAATCGAACAGCGGTCGAAATCCGAAACTAAACGACTTGCAAATCAAAAATCATACATCCGCGAGTTCCAGGACGTTGCGTCACACCGTCCAATCTATCCTCTTCACGCCTCCCATCCTTGATAACTACTGTAAGCACCGAGGCACCCAATCACCAGCAATCAATCCAACCATGGGGAATCGCGGGGACCCCAACCCCGACCAACCCCAGCCCACAAAAAATCCAGCAAGCACCAGGGACCCCTCAAAGAACACACCAACCAAACCCCCAGACACACACAGAGTAGGATGTTGTTTCCAACCGGGCCGCAACCGTGTCACCGAACCTGCACTTCCCATTTGTGCTGGCGTGCATGGGACTGTGATGTGACGCTGACGGCTGAGAAGCAGGTTGGTTGCCGTTGACTGGCCTCGCAAAATGGAATTGTCACGAGATGATGTGGGCCAGCTGTCCAATGGTATCAGTTTCGGTGAGGAGAGAGGATTTAGTGGCGGGAAAGAAGAGAGAAGGGGAGAAGGTGTGGGGGCGGGGTAGGTCGCTAGCTACCTGCTTACAGTATGCTATCAGCACCTCTACTGAGTACAATGATTCGTCGACAAGTAGAAAAAACGCCCAAGAACCGATTCCTTCTACCTACCCTGCCTGCCCCGTCAACGTAGGAAGAAGAATGAAGCTGCGAACAAGAAAAGAAGAAAATGACGGCAGGAGATTCCTACGATATCCCCAATCTACTCGAGTACAACTAAACCAATCTCTATCGCAATCTAGCTCTTAAAACTCCACTACTGTCCCCTAAAAAAAGGAAAGTCCAAGTAAGATAGAAAGCAAGGACAGGCTCCATGAGTAGACTCGTAGAGCATCAAAAGTATCTCACCGCAGCACATACACTCCTTACCTTTCCAGGAAGGTAGTATCAAAAGGGAGGGGGGCAGGCCAATGAAAACCAGTTCACGTACTTCTCTATCTCCTAGTCGTACCATATGTACCTTTCACGTTCCGCATTTTAAGCTTCAAAGCATCCACTTTCAGTCTTGGTATACATGCTTATCTTCACGACTGTAACAATATCACTCGCATACGCCGGCACGAGTTTAATTTGGATTCACAAGCTTGACTATAACTAATATACAATAACTGTAAACAAACCCGATGAAATACTTATCCATCTCAATATATAGTCCCCAAAAGTCTTGAAAGAAAAAGGTAGGATGGTATAGGGTAGGTACGAGTATACAACACAATCATCTAATCAACCAACATCGCAATACTATAGTACAAAAAAGAACAGTACTCCTCTACTACTCATACTAACATTCCATCATTCCCTAAAAAAGAAAAAAAGAATAGAAAAAAGAAAGCATACACATAACCCCCACCTTCCAATCAACCCCTCCTCTACTACCAAGACAAAAGAATATAAGAGATAAGATAGAAAAGCAACAATGTAAACGAAGCAGAGAAACAGTACACACACACACACACACCACAAACCCATCTTCCATCTCATCTACCATACCATACCACATAACATCATCCCCCCCCCTCCCCCGCGTCCAACAATCTCCAACCATCAATCCTCAAACACAAACACCACTACCACTAAAATCCCATCCCATCCCATCTTCTATCAAGCTCCCATGACCCCTCAAATAACCCCTCAACAAAACAACACTCCTCTCCGTCACTCTCGTAAGATAAAACATCCCTCGTCCCGTCCTACAATATCAATGCACATATCCTACTAATCTTCCCACACAATTCTATCCCTTTTCCCCTCATGGCACAGTATCGTCATATCCCCCTTCCCCCCCTTCCCCCTTTTTTCTCTCTTTCTTCCCCGGATACAGCACTACACAAACAATCTTCCAAACAAGCCTTTCCCAGAAAATCATCCCTCCCTCCCTCATCTTCAAAAACTCCAAAACCTAAATATACACAAACCTCCATACAACCCTCCGTACAATTGTTCAATACAATACAATATAGTATATATATCCCCCTCTTCGTAGGATATAAAAAACCACTTAAACCCTCACATTCAAAGAAAGCCAGGAAAGAAGAACACCCACCTACCTCGTCAAGTAAGTAAAGCAAGCAAGCCAAGCACATATCTCAAAAGAAAGAAAGGTCTATTTATAAGCCCCTGGTTTATTCATTCATTCAACCCCATCAATCATTAAAAAGGTAGCTTTTTCCCCAGCCAAGGGGGTCTCATGTACTATTCTGTTCTGTTCTGTTTCCCTATTAACGGATCATTTCTCTCCCCTTCCTTTACCGTACCATCATCATCCCCCACATTCTATCAATGAAAGCACGCATGCACGCTCGCACGCTTTTTCCCATACCAAACAAGAAAATAGTTTTCCTCTAATTGAAAAAAAAGGGTGAGAACCATTCAAATTTCTAATTAGGTTTCAAAGCCGTCCACCCTCCAAGTTCATCGCCATCCCCATCCAGTAAATCAGTCGTCGGTCTCCTCGGCGGAAGACTAGGACGCGGTCCATCATCTTCCATCTCATACTTGGTAGCTCTGCCTGGTCGACGAGATTGTGGAGGTGGAGGTGCACTTCCATTATTAATCTCTTTTCTAGCAGACATTGAAATCCCACCCGTCGTACGTCGTGTTGGTGGAGCGAACCCGGTATGGTCGGCATTCGTGGAGCGAGTTGGTTGGGTTGGAGGTAGGCTTTGCTGCGATGAAAAGGCGGCTATATTTGACATCTGTGGAGATACATTTGCGGAAGCGGGTGAGGCAAGGTGAACGGGTTTTTTGGCTACGGGTGGTGGTGCTTTTTTGGATGACGAAGAAGCGGTGGAGGTGGATTGACGACGGGTGGAAGGTGGTGGTGGGGGCGTGTTTTTGAGAGATGAATTGGACATGGTTCTGGTTGAAGATGTGACTGAAGAGTTTGGATTTACAAATGGGGGAGGAAGGACTCGAGTTCCACTTGTTGGTTGTCGAGGAGTTGGCGGTGGTGGTGCGGCATCTTTACTGGCTTTCCTTGGTGGTTGTACTCGAGGAACCTTTACCCAGTCGGGCTCGTCTGTTGGAGTATATGGATTCGAAGGTCGATCTGGATTTGGAATGAGTCCTGGCTGTGGTGGTTGTATGATTGATCTTGCAGGTTGTCCATTGTCCAACCACCACTTTCCCCTATCAGAGCTGGCTGGAGGTAGACCGGGTTCAATTGGATCATATCCAATCAAATCCTCATCATCGCTGTCATCACTTGCATCATTGATTGTTGGATTGCCGACTTCCGCACGCCTCTTTTCGTAAATTGATCTACTCAAGGATTCTCGATGTTCTTCATTAATTATGCTTACGGTGCATTGGAAAGTAGCGTATATTGGGCGATGGTCCGAAAAGCGAAGAGGTGCTGTGTTATAGTTGATTTGACGTAGATTTGTTCCCTTTCGAAGAATTCGATCGGTCCAAGCAGGAATTCTTGCCTTTTCCGATGTGTCGTAGGTATCAGACCCAAGATCGTATTTGTAGGTTGGATCAAAAGTGATTCTCGATTCAGAATAATATGGAAATGTAAGACCAGCGACCATCTGAAGATTGAGCTGATCATTTTCGTAGAGTGTCTCTAGATCACCATCTTTGACCAATTGTTTGACCCGTTCAGAGCCAAGACCAATTCGATAGTTAAAATCGCCCATCCAAATAACAGTATCATGGTGATCGATGCCTCGGTTTCTCTGGAATCTCAGGCCGTTATGAATAGTGACATAATCACGATTCCGCTCTTCGTAGTTTGAGAAGCCCGCTGCTAAATGTGCAGTGACGAAGCACAGTTGAGTTTTGGCATAGTCCATCCTAATTGCAACAGCACCTTTGTTACCAGCCATTCCGGACATTCCCGTTTTCTTGACACTGCCTTCAACATTCTTGATATTGTGCAGTATGGAAGACTTGACGAAAATGCAAAGCGCCGCTCCAACAAGTTGGCCGCTCCGTAGAAGCACATATCTCTCACCACTGGCCTTGCCAGCATGCTTGTTCAGAGTCCGTCTGATGACCTTTTCCCAAGCTTGTTTTCTGGTGGGATCGCTATTCATAATCTGCTGAGGGTTAAGTTCAACAATCTCTTGGAATCCGACAGCTACGATTTCCGGTTGTTGTTGAGAAAGATCAAGATCGGGACACAGCCACGACGATAGGTCTTGATCTATTCCGGTGGTCCGCCCATTCAGGTTGAATGATCCACACCATCTGACAGCCTGTTAGTAGTGCTCATTATAAAGATTCCAGAGTCTCGGCTCACATGTTAATATTCTCTGTTGATTGATACTCGGAGGCACGTTTCGACAACTCAGCTGTCACATAGTCGTTGATGGGATCAAATAAATGAACCGGCGCCTGTCCAACCAATCTCCCAAGCAGAACATCAATAGTATTTTGACGACCCTTATCAGCAAAATTGTTGATGTATAGCCGAGTTGCACTCTTTCGGGCATCTGCAATTGCCCCTGCCAGTGACATTTTGCCATGGCGTGTGAAAGAGGACTTCAAAGCACCTGTTCCTGCATAAATTCTGGATAGCGCGTCCCCGTTATCCGCCCATAGACTCGAATGACGCATCCAGAAATCCGAGGCAGCACGCTCCCCTCGGTGATTCAAGAAGGACTCGACGGCCATCTGTGAGATGATGGTCTGTATCAGATTCGTTCTATCGAGGCAATCCAAACAGTTCGTCCGGAATACACCTTCTTGTTGTAAGACAACAACAGTTCTGATATGTCGTTTCTCGAGAGCATCTTCTGCTGGGTCCTCCACGTCTTCAGATAGATAGTAGGCAAACCCATCAGCAGTGTTCTCAATGTATCTTCGAATCAGGCTAGCTGCTTCATACCCATTGGGCCCTTTTGTTTCAGCGTGAAAGTCAAATCTTGTCTCCCCGAGAAGTTTGTGATCTTGATAATCCTTTTCACCTGGGTGGTTGAGTGGAGAATGGTTGATTCCCGACATGTATGCCCTTGTCAGTTCTGCTTCGCCGGGTTTGGTTTCGCTTAGAAGATTTACAACGTGGACGGCACCATAATTTCGTTCCAACTCTCCAAAATGCTTATCAAAAGCGGGTTGTGTTCCTTCGGCTGATCTTGTCATGGTAATCTTTTGCTGTCCCGGGAGTAGACCCGCAGCCTGCTCCCAAAATGCTGGAACCGAACCCCTAATCTGGGCATATGAGAAGCAAATACCGGCAGGCTTTTCATTTGCGGCTTGATCTGATTGTCCGACAGCAGTGGGACTCCAGTATATCGTCTCTGATTCTACAAAGTTCGCCACGTTGCCATCGTCATCTATTCCGCGGCTATTGAATCTTGTTCCAGCTCTGCGGCACGAGAGCCGGGATATCAAGGTAAGTGTAGATGGAAGACCGACTTTGGAATTTCGCAATGGCGCAGAAGAGGCTGGAATGGCAATTGTGAGAACGAATCCACGAATGGCGGACGTGAGAATCCGAGATTTGTCCAATGCATCCCTCTCGTGCGCTACCAACCTGGATCTAAACTTCACAAGAGGGTCAATCATGTATGAATTCCATAGAAAAGATTCGTCAAGATTGGCTATATCGAAAACAGAGGCGTCCGTAGATCTGGGAGAATTAGTTGTAGCTTCTACCATGGGAAAATGAATGTTACCGATCCTGCAGCCTATTGGTAAGATCAAAGTCAGTACTATAGTAAAAGCTGCCACTTCCCAGGAGTTTTCGCAGTTCCGTAGTCGGGTGTTCCATCAATGGTTCCCGACGTGTATATCCACCCCCATCCCAGTATTGCGCCTCCTGCGAATATGGATCAATGTTGTCGCTGAAGATATGATCGTAGTCGGAGCTGTTCAAGCAGTAGAATTCCACCCCTTGTATTCTCTCCACTGTTTCGCCAGGTCTAACCGTTGCTACCTTGGCGCAAGATGTAACAACTGAGAGGAAGACATCATCATTGATCGTGATCAATCCCAATGTTCCATGTACTGCCAATGGGCTCAGTGTCCGATAATCGCTCAAGTCTGCTGCATGTCGGTCCACGAATTCCACTATACATCGCGAAGAGCCTGCGCCATCAATTGAGTTTCGGGAGGTGACATGATGGATAGAAGTGAAAGAGCCATTCTGTACTGCGTCGGTGGTTGAAGGGCTGTGTCGGAATATGAGGGCATGAGTGCCTGTCACAAGCGCAATCGACCGATGCGGGTAGTCGCTGATTACAACGCGAATAGACATGCTGAAATGGTTGAAAGGAGCGTTGGCATAGGGCCAGGGGTTTCTCTCATCTTGCGAGCTGTTGAATGCGTTGTTGTACAGTTCGCATTGTTGACGATCTGTAAATTATAATGGTGGTTCCCAGCTCTCCCCAGTCAGTGATTCATTCTGCCGACCATCTCACCGCTCTGTCTCCACTTGCGGCTCCATTACCTTACAGGGCACTCCTCATCTAGTAAACACTTCTAATTGTAGCTCTACTTGCTTAATCATATCTTTGTAGGGCAATTTAGTTATTCATATAATCTATAGAAGATTAGATATCTAACCTATTTAATTATAATATTTCAAATCATAACAAGTTCATATGATAATTGTTTAAGCAAAAAAAGGAAGTGCCCTACAGCGTACTGTACCTCACAAATTAAACGTTCTTTGTTCTGCCAAGCTTCATCCAAAGAGCTCTAGATCTATGGCCAAATTAAGCTTAAAAAAGGGACTCCAAAAGACAGTGCTACTTGAGTAGACTCTGACACGGTTTGGAAATTAAGCACCTCAACTAATCCAAGTGACCTATATGCGGTACAGTAGTATTATCTAGAAACTATTAAATTGACTATCGCTAGACCTAATACAAGCACTTCAATAAATCCCACGGGAGTGGGAAATGCATCCCTCCCTGACGGTCGTATCTCGGTCCTCCTTCCGGGAACATTTATTTTTGTAGGCGTTCTGACACTTTGATAAAAAGGGTTGTAAAGTGGCTGAGACAATACAGCGGCCGGTCAATAGATAAACATTCGACTATTGCTATTGAGCTATTACCAATGCCCAATTTAAATGCGATAATCTTTCTTTCAAGTCTTGAAATGCCATTGCTAAAAAGAGAAAAAGAATCCAAGAAGCGTGCACATGTACAACCAAAAAGTGACAAGGCCTTCTTGACGTAATGGGTACCGGTAGCAGAGAAATCCTGTACTCGTACCACGAATAGTTTCAAGAATCTACAGCATCCGAGGCACCAAAGAAAATGAGGGAAGTGACCTCGGCTTCACTTCAGGCAGGACCAATTCCAAACATGTGTGATGGTGTACCCTTTGTAACTTCCCAAAGTAACATTACCACAACGGTGAGAGAGGGATACCAATGACGACGGCGAGTCTCACATCCTCTGGCTTCACACAAGACCGGGCATACAAGACAGTGGCTTGGAGATCCCGTTTGCTTCCGAGGGACATATATCGGCGATTTTGCCATCCCTTTCCGTCTGCTTGGCGACGCCCTACCCAACATCAACACCAAGACCGACCTTTCGGAAATGATTCGGTGACGGATCCCGGGTTTCCAAAGACACGTTTCTTATATACTTGGAAGTATAAATGTTGAAGTTTTTGATATATTTCCGAGATATCCATCTGCAAATTTCCTTTCCCAAAAGTTTGGGTGTTAGCGTTCACGACTACTCGTAGGGAGTACTCGTAGGTACCGATAACATGGTTCCGTACAGCGGGGACGACTCCGGATCGACAAGATAGCCGTACTCCGTATAGAGGATCCTCGAAAGCTGGAGCACCAACGGGCAGGCATCCGAGGCATTGGACCAGCATCGACGGCCAATAATACGCCTGACATGTACGTCGAAGTAAATTTACCCTCCATTCGACAGGCATCCACGGGCATAGCGTCGGCAAGTGTCGCCGCAAGCAGTGTCGCGTCGCGCAAATTCTCGTACAAACTCGAGGTCGAGTGCATATGAAGTCTGGACTCTGGCCAGCGGCCGTCAAGCCGAGTGGACTGTGGACTGCTTGCGAGTGCGGAGTGGGTGTGTACTCGTACAGTGTCCGTACCAGTACTAATACGGATGTATCCTGTCCACCCGGAACCGGCATTTGTCATTCATCATTCATCATTCATCATGGCTCAATTACTCATACAGTGGACTTTCGGGGCATGAAGAGTGCAGACACCAGCAGAGGGATCCAGTCCGGAGTGAACCCAGTCCGTGGGATACGGATGGATGGTTCCTTCAGCGGGATGGTTCCTTCAGCGGAAGCGGAGCCCACTACGCCCAAGGCTTGGAAGTGCTTGCGGAATGGAGATTGTTTGCGTGTGTTACTGACGAGTACCTCCGCACTCCAACTCGGTACGGTGCTACCGCTGGATTTTCCTCTTCGTTGGCGTCGGTGTCGGCGTCATTGCAAGACTTCTAGGAGACTTGTAGTGGCCGGTTTCAACTGGTCGCCAGTCGAAGGAGACGGAGTGGAAGATCAGTGGAAGACCAGATCCGCTGAAGGAATCACGATGGTGTGAGTGGTGGGGGAGTGCTTGAGAGAGATCATGGATGGTTTCGACTTCCTCGCGGAAACCCAGATTTACCGTCCATATCACGATGGAAGGTGGGGAGCGAGAGTCTGCCCTTTAAAGCATTCTGCAGCGCACCAAAGGGGTTCCTGAGCAACAATGGTGGGCAATGAGCCTTGAGCCTTGAACACTTTGATGCTGAGAAATGGCCATCCTTGCACTGTTGCTGGACGGTCTAGACTGAGTGGCCCTGGAGTCTTAGGGTCAAGTCGACTGCATTCAGCACCTTGCAGACGCCCACGGTGGGCCATCCCCATCACCTGCACGCATCGCGAGGACTTGGCTCAGTAACTCGACCGACGACCGTACTGTAGCTTACTAGCTTACTAGCTTGGCCCACTAGCCCACTAGCCCACTAGCCCACTAGCCCACTAGCCCACTAGCCCACTAGCCCACTAGCCCACTAGCCCAGCTCACTGCCCACTACAAAGGTAGACGAGCTTACTGCAGCTATTAGACTCCTTTGCTCGAGCCGAACCTTGAAGATGGACATGAGTACGTTCAGTCTGCAAATACAACAGAGTTTTCAATGAACATTGCACCCAGAATCCGACCAGTTTTGCGGTACGAGTGCCAACACAGGTACTAGTGCCAATACTGGTACTGTCAGTGTCACTGTCATTTGTCATTGCCATGGTCGTTGTGCTCCAGCTAAACCTGTGCCTATTTGAAGAAAGAGACCATCGGCAAGCTTCCTCTTCCTCTTCCTGCCCGCAAGCTAAGCCGGACCTTAGCTACCCCTTAGCTACCCCATAGGCTCGTTGTACTCCGTACTGTAGTCTTTACGAGTAACAGTTGGGAGCCAAGACGCGCAGCCAACTAAACTTGACCTTGCACGGCGGGGGCGCACGAAAATCCAGTAGGTAGCAGCCCTGTGCAGGCGACGCAGGGCACGATTGGCGGGCCCGGTCTAGAACTCTAGAACCACCTGGAATCCACAAGAGCCCAGAGCAATTATTACTCAGGAAGGACTTGTCCTCCCAGTGCGAGTACTCGTACTGGCTCCGTACCTAAACACTACCATACACCACACGCCAAAAGGTCCATACCACACACAGTCAGACTCACTAGCACCTAGGGCCAGGGAATCCCTAGGCACAATTGCTACGCTTCAGACTGTAGATAGGGACTGACACGCACGCCTAGACTCGCGATCCAGCGTCACGGTTGCCATCACCAAGCGAGGACCTCTTCATTCCCCCGCGATTCATTGCCATCGAGCCTGGTCCCTTATCACCGTTCGAGGGACCCCACTCGAGGAGTGCACTGGTACTGCTACTGCTACGGTACGGAGGCTTCACTCCTTGTCAGCTATTCTAGTCTCCCCTTGGGACGGGCTGGCCAGGACCAAGACATCGACATACAGGCCTCTCAGGGCACGGGTAGATCCGTACGCACCCAGTCCAGTCAGTCCGGTCAGTCCAGTCGGTAGTGTGACCTGAAATCCGATCGTCTCTCCTCGAATCCTCTCTACACCACACCACTACACCACTACACCACTCCTACACCTAACACCTAACACCAAAATCACACTATCGCCTCCCGGAAGAAAGCATCTACACCACCATACGGAAAGATTCCCGAGCCTTGCCGGACTCCAATATCGAACAGGTGCTCACGAATCACACACGACATCCTCGTCGATCTTCCATTCAATCATTAAACAACCCTTCAAACTCGATCTCGGGATCTCTGGATGCTTTTCTGGAGAAAGACATTAGGGTTGGTGGGATGCACGAGACACGAAAGATCCCCATGGAGTCAGGGGCTAATGTTCCCCGAACGTACAGACCCCTTCGTCAGCGAGTGAGGCCACGGCCGGAGAAGGAGAAAGAGAGAAAGGGCCCATCAATTTGGAGAACGGAATATGAGGAAATGGATCGTGGTCGAGAAATGGCGGCCGCGTTCAACGATCGATCGACCCTCTGTCTACCCGACTTCGAAAGTGGTTCGGTTCTTCATGCAGGAGACGAGCGCTTTCGAGATGTTGCGAGGGCCCATTTCAAACCAGCAGAGAACAATGCAACCGAAGGACTAGTAAAACTCAAGTCCCAACTTCGGAATGCCTCCACCCACGACTTTTGGGCAATGCTGACCAAGGAGATGTGCGCCATCACGGGTGCACAGTGTGGATACGTCTCCAAAAGGATCCTAGTAGATGACAGAGACAGTGCGATTGAGATGCCCTCAGAGGGTGACCCAGGTCTATGTTTAATGGCCGTTGCTTTCTACCTGGACAATGGAGAAGATGTACCGCAGTTGCATCGAGATTATAACTATTATACACACGGAACAGCCTGCGCTCATATGAAGCACGACAAAGTTCTCATCGTGCCGGAAAGGTTGGATGAATTTATACCTAACAATCCCAATGCAGGTGTCCTACCTTGGAAGCAATCCGAGGCATTTATTGGAGTTCCCCTCTTCAGTGAAGGAAAGAACTTTGCCCACTTTGGCTTGATATGGTCGGTGGGTGGAGCCGCGAAGAGGAAGTTATCCTGGGGATATATCGAGATGTTTCTGCACTCACTGGGGGACATCATTGCAGACAGGATACTCGAAGGTCGCGGCTTCGCAAAGGAAGTGGCACCAGAAGCCAAAGCGGCCAAGGTCATTCCCCTCTCAGCCATCACCTCGTCACAATCTCTCAAGCCTTATGCGAGAAGCCTCTCTCATGAGTTGAGAACGCCGATGCAAGGAGTAGCCGGTCTGCTGGATATCATGTACTCAACAATAATCGATGCGATGCGTCACCAACAGAGTGGACCAAACCAGGATGTTTTCACAACCCTCAAGAAGCATATTGAGACAGTTCAAGGTTGCTCATTCTTCTACTCAACGCCATACTCTTTACTGACCAATCCACAGACAGTTCCAAACGGGCGATTGAAGCGGCCGATAATGTAGTCTACGCTTATTCCAACAATATGGAGATGCCGGATACACCATTAACACAATCCGTCGTCGCCAATGACTCGGCTCCCACGGCCCATGTACCAACCTTGGCCATCAAGAACTTGGAGGTACCTGGAAGATTACCGTCGCCACCTAGCACCAAACGCAATTGTGACGATGATCTCCAATGTCATCCGGGGTCGCCAAGAAAACGCGTGTTCACGATTTCAGAAACGGAAATTTTACGGAAATATTACCCCGAAGATGGAATCACATCGTGTGGTGTATGTGGAGTGGTTGCTGCGGACACTGCTGCATCTATCCTGTCCCCTCCAGCCCAGGAGGTGGAGACGATAGAGAGCAGTCCCAGAGCAACATCCGCCATTGTGAGCTCCAATCATGGGCGAGTGGTCACAAGAGAGTTCATCAGGACCCTGTTGAACGAAGCTTTACGAAACGGACACCCAACTAGCGAAGTGCGCATTGAGACGGACCTGGGTGAAACGATTGAAGTCCAAACTCTCACTTCGAGGGGCGAGGTTCAATCCAGAAACATTTCTTTGATGATCGAGGCAGAAGTTCCGGAAGTCATCCTCGTCGAAGAGTCACACTTACAATTTGCGTTACAAAAGATTGTTGACAATGCCATCAAGTTCACAGACAATGGAAGTATCACGATCACGATCAAGATGGCTAAATATCTTCGATTTTTCGAGATATGGGTTGTTGACACAGGATGTGGTATCGCGGTGGAGTCACAACCAAATGTCTTCAAACCACACTTCCAAGAGGATTCTTCCACCAGCCGAGCTCGTGATGGCCTCGGGCTGAGTCTGTTTAATGCAAAAGCCCATGTAAGGAAAAATCTTGGTGGAGATGTGACGTTGGAGAAATCATCCACTCAAGGGCCGTCCAAAGGCTCCACATTTCTCATCCGCCTCCCTATATCAACCTTTGATCTCATCAATATAGATGCGCCTCTGGTCGGGGACCCCCCACATCGTTCATTTTCTATGGTACATGGTCTCCCGACACCAGAATTTGAGTTGAATATCCCTGCCACGACACCACCTGTATCTGTGGACGGCGATAAAATGATACCATTTGGACCAGCTTCGAGGTCAACCAAGATAGGCCCCCACAAACGCCCTGCATTCAATCCGGCACTTGCTACAAAATGCCCTTTAAACATACTAATAGCAGAAGACAATGCTATCAACCGAAATGTTGCTGTAGGATCACTGAACAAACTTGGATATCCCAAAGACGATATCACGGTTGCATTTGATGGCGTGGAAGCGGTTCAATATTATCGGGAGTCATTATCCAAGCCACCAGAACAACAGTTTGATGCTATATTGATGGACATTTGGATGCCTAATATGGATGGATTTGAAGCGACGGCGAAGATTCTTGATTTGGCCAAGAATAACGGAGCCAAGACCAAAATCATCGCAGTTACAGCGGATATCACAGGAGAATGCCTTTCCAAGGCTGAATCGGTCGGCATGCAAGGGTTTCTGGCGAAGCCGTACAAAGTTCTCGATATTGAGAATCTGATATTACGACACTTTCATAAAGCAAAGTGACGATTTAAAATGAGCGGGTTCCATTTTTCAGCGTTTTGAGCATTTCAAATATTGGCGATTTACATGGGGCGTTTTTTTCTCTTGAGATCTTGGTTTTGGACCAGGGGCTCATGGGTTTTACAAAAGATCGGGGTGGGTGGGGGTTTTACTCCTGATTGCAAGTGTCTTCGTCTGGAAAGGAGTTTATGAGAGGTTGTGGAGAGGGATGGGCATGGTGGTGTCTGGTTTGTTGGTACAAGGATGGAGTTTTCCAGACGATGGTGATGGTCTTTATGTATATTGATGGGAACTATGCGACATGAATAACTGACTACATTACTGAATAAATACCTATAGAGATATAGATGTTGAATTGTTTGTTGTTAGCGAAGTATCTGACGCGCGTGACTTGAAGTGATTATTGATTAGGTAAATGTTATTAAGATTTGGTGAAGTGATTGGATCTGATATTACAAGGGGGGGTTGTGACCGTTCACCATGCAAAGGCGGGGTTCTAGCGCTCTTTTATAATCCCTGTCACTTGTCCTCACTGCGTCACTGTGCTGCAAGTCATGGGCTTTGACCATCAACCTCCCTGTTTGATCAACGTTAAATTTAACCTTCAATGCCACACAACGTTTTCCCCACCTCAACAACGTCCCTTCTACAACATCACCATCATCATTCCTACGAAAGTACCACCCTACGAACATGTAACGAAACCAACACAAGATGCGCTATCACAGCATCATCACAACACTTTGCCTTGCTGCAACCTCCCTCTCAAACCCTACATATCCTTTCTCCACACCGCAAAATCCCCTCCTCACACCATCCGCGGAAGAAGCAGATCGCAACATCTCCCTCGCTCTCTTCGCGGACCTCGAGGAACTTTCTAGGGTCGTGGATATCTCCTACTGCGTGGGACTGACGGGGATCCAACACCCATTCCTGTGCGCGAGTCGATGTGAGGATTTCCCGAACTTTGAGTTGGTGGATACGTTTAATACGGGTCCGTTGATGAGTGATAGTTGCGGGTATATTGCTCTTGATCATGGACGTGAGAAGGGGGGGAGGAAGAGAGTCCTGGTGGCTTTCAGAGGCACGTATAGTATTGCTAATACGATTGTGGATTTGAGTACGGTGCCGCAGGAGTATGTTCCTTATCCTGAGCAACCAGGGAATGGGACGGGCAAGGGGGTTGATGGTAAACCGAGAAGGGGGGGCAGATGGAGGTGGAGGTTTTGGAGGCCTTGGAGATGGGGTGAGGAGGAAGAGGTGAGGGTAGAGGGTGAGGAGGAGACGCCCAAGTGTATGAATTGCACGGTACACACGGGATTCTGGACTTCCTGGTCGAATACGAGGGAACTAGTCATACCACACATCCTACGACTAAGAGACCAATATCCTGATTACAAACTCGATCTCGTAGGCCACTCCCTTGGTGGCGCCGTCGCTGCACTCGCAGGTCTGGAATTCAACGGTATGGGCTTCGATCCTCGAATCACCACTTTTGGCGAACCGCGAATGGGGAACGAGGGGTTGAGAGATTACCTTGATGCCGTCTTCAACCTCCCCAACTCGGATTCCAAGAAGAAAGGAAAAGAGGAACAGAACCAACATCTTCACTCCGGCCGCTACAGAAGAATAACCCACATTGACGACCCCGTCCCCCTCCTCCCTCTCCAGGAATGGGGCTACCGCGCCCACGCAGGCGAAATCTACATCTCGAAGCCCTCCCTCCAACCTACCGTCTCCGACGTCCATCTCTGCCTCGGCGACGGGGACGTAAACTGCATCGCCGGCGCGGAAGTAGACGAGGATTGGTTCGATACCACACGTACCATGAACCGACCACAGATTGGCGATGAGGTACCCGAGGATGAGGAGATGAGGCTCCTGGGGAAGAGGTGGGGAATCCCCATCCCGGCCAGGTATAAGATGTGGCAGCTCTTTTTTGCGCACCGGGATTACTTTTGGAGGTTGGGTCTTTGTCTTCCTGGTGGTGATCCGTTGGATTGGGGGAGGGAACGGTATCGGTTTGGGGATGGGGATGGGGGTGAGGTCGAGGGGAGGGAGGATTTGTAGGTGGGTGGGTGTATGAGTATTAATCCTTGTGATGGGGGTTTCTTTGTTTTGTATAACATTTCATGGGATTTGGCGTCTGGTTCTCATGGGGGATTCGAAAATTGGGCTGGAATCGCGGATGGTTGGTTTGTCACTTTGTTACTTTGTTAGTTCGATATTGTGGGTCATGGGTATGAGGGCATGAGAAGTCCTATGATTACGAGTAGAATGAAATTAACATGATACCCCCATCTGAAATTCAAGAATCTACCGGAAATTTCCATAAGGGAAGGGGTGAAAATTGTTTGTTACCTATCTTCCACATCCCTGTTCTTTGCTTGGGAATTATATTCTCTCGCTTATCGATAGTGTACTTGCCTTATTTATTGTTTTCTGATATCTCTTTGATGTACCTGTATTAGGAGTTGACTCGGCGCCATGAACCCCGTTCGCCTCGCCTCGCCTCATCTCACATCGCTTATTTACTCGTACAGAAGCCTTGAACTAAATCTAGATATGCCGCTTCCGCTTCCGCTTAATTATTCTGTACGGTACTGTAAGATTACAGTACCTCATTTGCTTTTACCTGAACCCGCTATGGTCTCACTGAGTCGAGTAGGTAGCGTCGGGTCGGTTTAGCTCCATTCCATTCCATAGGACGGCTTGTCTTAGTCTACTCTGCTCTAGGCCTCGCGTGAAGGTTCTATAGTAGTGTCGTCATTCAGTTCAGCTTGGGCGTGTTGATGATGCCGTGGTTTCGAGGGCTGATATATTTACATCTACCTATCTCTGGGTAACCCAGTTGCTTGCTCTTTTCACACATAACAAAGACAGTTAATCACTATCTCGACTCTTCTGTTGTTTATATCACAGTCACAAATTTGTTCTAAGTGCAAATTGTTTAGAAAAGGAAAAGAAAAGAAATAGGAAGGATGTACATCCCAAACCCCCAACAGATCCTCTCCGCCGGTCTGGCAGTTTGCGGAGGATTGAAGGATGTAGTTTCTCGTACGTCCTCCCTCTTTCACTTCTTCCTCACTCTCATCCTAACCACCCCACCCTATCTTTCCAATTCTCACCTCTTTCTCCCCACAAAACCAAACTAACATCCCAACCCCCAGCAACCAACCCCAAGCTTACATCCATCGCCCACGGCCAAGTCCTCGACTACGCAATCGAGAAATGCCTCGACGACGACGGAAACATCCGGTGCACCAAACCTTTCCTCGTACAAGAGGATAGGTGTTATGTTGTGGAGTGGAGGACTAAGGGGGTGGTCAGTCATACGACTTTGGAGGTTAGGGATGCGGGGAGTGGGGAGGTTGTGAGCTTTTTTTTTTTCTTTCTTGTTTCTTGTTTTTTCTGCTTTTT